TTCTTCAAATAATTATAATGATATCAAGTAAGTTATGTAAATTATTATGTATTGGACTATATCATATCAGATGGCGCACCCTCATTCGTTAAACGTGAGGACGACATTAGCTCCTCCCACTTTTTGCCCCGTTCAGTCTGTTTGATATAGTATGCGATTTCTCTCTATATTTTTGTTTGAAAATGGTTCAGTAATGGAAATGGTTTAAAAAGTGATTAAAAAAAACCCCTCTCCCCTCCCCCCCCCAAAAAAAGTAAAAAGCCCTGTTAATATTTGTAATTTATGAGTGGATGGAGAGGGAGTGATCCTACCTGTCTTAAAATTAGCTTGAATAATCAGGTTAGGCAATCTATCTAATTTACTCCCTGGTGACTAAGTGCTTGTGGACCCATCTGTGCATAAACAAAAATCACCAAAAAGCACAGTGGACCGTGCATGTACCCAGTGCCAATAGTTTAGTATTGCGTTCAAATTGGTTTTGTGGAATTGTAGATTTATTATTTTTTATGACATCCACTTAAGGTTGCAACAGGGAATCCTAGAGATAGAGAAGGAAAAAATTCAGTGAGTAATATGGAGAGATATTACCTTTTTATAATGAATATATACACACAAGAACATGTTCTAGTGGCTACCTTCCATTGCTGCCATATATATATATATATATATATATATATATATATATATATATATATATATATATATATATATATATATATATATATATATATATATGTATATGTATATGTATATATATTTATATATGTATACATAGATGGCTCTGCTAGTGCTTAGCCTTACCTGATTTCACCTTTCCTTGAATTGGTGGGAAAATGTATTTTTTACTAGTGCAATGAATATGGATAGTGTTATTTTTATTATAAACATTATAATTACTATAATGTAATAAACATTAGTAATAGCAAAATAAGATAACGTAAAATATTTTTGAAAATTAAAGAAAAGGGTGAACGGGCGAGACAGACTGGCAGTACTCGTAATTGGCTCATTTGTGACTTAGTACAAGTGTAGCTATCTATATGTAAAAACAATTAAACAAGTAAACTCACAGTGGGCTTGGCATGCCTGTTGGCAATAGGTTAAAGCAGTAATTATCAAACTTTACCCACTTTTGCCCAAGCAAAGATGAAGCTATACACAGAAATTGCATGTTATTGAAGGAAAGATAACTAAGCAGGTGACACATCTCAGTCAGTTCAAGTTTATAACAGTTTTGGTGTAGATGCACCAATTTCTCTGCACTCATAGTTGAGTATGTATGTATATATATATGTATGTATTTATGTATGTGTTTACGTATGTAAGAATGAAGGACACTCTCTCTCATTGATATCTGGTGGCAAGCAATACTCAAGAAACTCTCTCCCTGATTATATATATGTGTGTGTGTGTGTGTGTGTGTGTGTGTGTGTGTGTGTGTGTGTGTGTGTGTGTGTGTGTGTGTGTGTGTGTGTGTGTGTGTGTGTGTGTACACATATATAAAGTATAAATAAATACATATACATCTATACATATGTAATATATATATATATATATATATATATATATATATATATATATATATATATATATATTTATTTATTTATTTATTTATTTATTTATTTATTTATTTATTTATATATTTAAAATTATTTGTTAAATATATAAAAATATATATATATAAATATATAAATATATAAATATATATATAAATATATAAATATATAAATATATAAATATATAAATAATATATAAATATAAACATACATATAAACATATATAGAAACATATATAAATATATATATATAAATATAAACATACATGTAAATATATCTAAATATATCTAGATATATCTAAATATATATATCTAAATATATATATATATATCTAAATGTATATATATATATCTAAATGTATATATATATATATATATCTAAATGTATATATATATATATATCTAAATATATATATATATATATCTAAATATATATATATATATCTAAATATATATATATATATATCTAAATATATATATATATATATCTAAATATATATATATATATATAATATATATATATATATATATATATATATATATATATATATATATATATATATATATATATATATCTAATCTAAATATATATATCTAATCTAAATATATATATCTAATCTAAATATATATATATCTAATCTAAATATATATATATATCTAAATATATATATATATCTAAATATATATATATCTAATCTAAATATATATATATATATCTAAATATATATATATCTATCTAAATATATATATATATCTAAATATATATATATCTAAATATATATATATATATCTAAATATATATATATATATATATATATATATATATATATATATATAAATATATGTAAATATATATATAAATCTATCTATCTATCTATCTATCTATCTATCTATCTATCTATCTATCTATCTATCTATCTATCTATCTATCTATCTATCTATCTATCTATCTATCTATATATATATATATATATATATATATATATATATATATATATATATATATATATATATATATATATATATATAAATATAAATATAAATATATATAAATATATAAATATATATAAATATATATAAATATATGTAAATATATATATATATATATATATATATATATAAATATATAAATATATAAAATATATATATATATAATATATACACATACATATATACATATATAGATATATACATATATAATATATATATATAAATATAAACATACATGTAAATATATCTAAATATATCTAGATATATCTAAATATATATATCTAAATATATATATATATATCTAAATATATATATATATATATCTAAATGTATATATATATATATATAATCTATAATATATATATATATATATATACTATATACATATATATAATATATAAATATATAAATATATATATAAATATATATATATATATATCTAAATATATATATAATATATATCTAAATATATATATATAGATATATAATATATATATATATATATATAATACTATATATATATATTATATATATAATATATATAATATATATCTAATCTAAATATATATATATAATCTATATATATATATATCTAATCTAAATATATATATATCTAATCTAAATATATATATATATCTAAATATATATATATATCTAAATATATATATATCTATCTAAATATATATATATATATCTAAATATATATATATCTAAATATATATATATATATATCTAAATATATATATATATATATATATATATATATATATATATATATATATATATAAATATATGTAAATATATATATAAATCTATCTATCTATCTATCTATCTATCTATCTATCTATCTATC